GGACAGATTTCTAGACACTTGTGAATTACCAATGTTGAATGAAGATCACTTGGGTTTATCTAGGAGTGTATCAACCTTCTTATATGATTTCTTCTTTGAACCAATCATGACTTAGGAGTTTTTTGTTGAATTTCCACACATTTGTGAGTTTGTCATTGTTTTCTACTAATTTCTAATTTTATTCCATTATAGTCAGAAAACATAGGTGGTCATTCAAAGTTTGAGTTTCCTTGTCATATTCTGTGTAAGTTTTTGTATTTTCAGAAGTAGAACATTGATATTTCCAACCATAATTATAAAGTAGTTTATTTCTTCCATTTTTTATCAGTTTTTCAAACGACAATTCATGGACTAGCAGAATTAGGATAGGTAAAATGACCTGGTGAGGGAATAGAAATAAGGCAAAAGGCCAAAATGAAAAGAGAAAATAACTATTCAAAGAATCAAGAATAGAAGTGGTTGTTTTAGGGATAGTGCAAGAAGATAAATAAGTTCAAATGATGAAGAAGTAGGGATATTGATGTAAATCCTATAGTATGGGACCTCAATATCTCCCATAAGCCAATGTATTTGTATTAGGGTTCACCAGAAGAACAAAATCAAGACTTTAAAATGTTATTATACCAAGTATTTATTAGGGAGGCTTACAGGATTGAAACAGGAATGATCCCACTGGCTGTCTCAGAAAGCAGAGGCAGAAGAATCCAAAAGGGCCATCTGTGCACAGGAGAGCTAGAGGATGCAGTAGCAGTCAAAGGTCCAAGACCTGGAAGCTAATTGTAGTCAATGCGGTGAGTCTGTTAGAAGCCCAAAGAATCTACACTGGAGACCAATGCCCAAGACAATGGTGAAGACCTGAGCTCAGTCACTCCCCCCACCAAAAGAGGAAAGATTTACTTCTTCCCTTTGTTTTCTGTCCAGGCTACAAGCTTATTTTTGGTTCCACCCACTTCCGCATCTTACCTCCTCATTTGTGACCTACATGCCACTCATCCACAGAAACAACCAGCGCTTGGCTAATGTCGTTCTTGCTCGAGCTGACATACCACAACTGATGATCACACCGTGAAAAGGCGTAGTCCCTAAAATAAGTCAATTTGGAAGTGCTAGAATCTTTAAGAGGTGTGTTCTACAGCTCAGTGGGGCATGCGCTGAAGAAGAAGGGTGGAGGCCCAGCCCTTTTTCTCATCCTCTCTTTTACTGTAAAATCCTAGCCATGGTTTTTCACTGCCATATGCTCACAATATGAATTTTTGCCTTACAACAAGCACAAAAGAACAGAACCAAGTAGTCATTGAAAGAAGCCTCCAGAAGTGTGGGCCAAAGTAAACCATGTCTCTTTATATGTTAATTATAGTAGTGGTGGTTTTTTATTATTTTTTTAAAAATTTAATTTAATTTATTGGTACATTCTAGGTAGACAGTACAGTTATATTCATTACTAGGATCTTGTACCTTTTTTATTTATTTATTTATTTTGAGACAGGGTCTCACAATGTAGTTGAGACTGATCTGGAACTCACTATGTAGCCCAGGCTGGTCTTGAACTCACAGTGATCCATCTGCCTCAGCCTCCCAAGCGCTGGGATTACAGGCATGTGCCACCACACCCGGCTCAGTGATGGTGTATTAACTGACTTTCTGTCACTTGGAAAAACTACTCAACATAAACAATTTGAAGAAAAGATTCATTTTGGATCATAGTTTCATGGGTTTCTGTCCATGATCGGTTGACTCTAAGGCAGAATTAGCTCACTTCATAGCAGTTGGGAGGCAGAGTGAGAGCAAGAAAGCCAGGAGGAAAAGAAGGAATTGGAGACAGAAAATGCCCTCCCAAGGCTGGCCCATGGTGACCTACCTCTTCCAACAAGGCCCCTCCCACCTAACAACACATTCAGCCAGAGGTCACTGCCCCATGATCTAGTTACCTTCCCAAAGCCCCACCTCTGAACACATGAGCCTTTTTTTTGCAAACATTTTAGCTCTAATTCATAACTTATGGAAACCTAATGGTAACTAACCAAATTGAGACTTGAGAGTGACGGCCACTGACATGTTGTGACACCATAAATGATGAGACAGGACTAAATAAGAAAGTATTTTGAAGAAAAGGAAGCTTTCAAGAAGTTGCTTCTGGGTTTGCAAGGAAAACAATATTCTAGTAAGTAAGGTATAAGATCAAGGATATTATAACTTCAAAGAATGATTCTAAAAGTTGTATTTGGGTTTAGAGGTGAAAGGAATAAATGAGAATTTTAAGCAGCTACTCACACCATACTTTCTTCCCTTTGAAGCAGCCAATCAAACTCAGTTTCCACTTTCTCTGTAAACCTTTGCTGACCATTCCAGCAAAATTTTTTTTCCTTCTCACACAGTACATTATACACACACAGTAGAAAGAAGAATGATCTAAATTCAACTAAGTAAAAACATGTTCCTTACAATTTCTTGAGAAATAAGCATGTACCTTATTCTGTATGTCTCAAAGGATAGATATAATTACTCCAAATTATTATGACTTCCACATTCAGAAGATTTGGTCTCCCAGGCTGTGTTCTAAGGCCAATGCCAAGTAAATCCCCTTAGAATTATTTTAAATATCTAAGTCATTCTACCAGTGGCATGAATATTAACATTAACCTCTTTGAAGAAATACTCTCCTACATGATCAAGAATATAAACTTTAGGGCCTGGGCTTTAGCTCAGTGGTTTTGCCACCTGCCTTGCAAATGAAAAGACCCAATTTCAATCCCTGGTAACAAAAAAACAAAACAAAACAAAACAAAACAAAAAGAATATAAAGTTCATTGTTGGACTCAAGCAAACAAGCAGCCTCTAAAAACAGGGAAATCAGGTAAGAAAAATTTTTAGTTTATATTTTGCTAAATGATCCCTACAGCTCCAGTTTTTCTCCTTTTATGATACTTGAAATCTTCTCTTTACTCTGAAGCTTGTTATAAATAAGCACAGAAAAATAACTGTCATTCATTTGTACCACACATGAATTCAAGAGGAAATTAACTTTACTAAAAGTAAGAGCAGTTTTATAGTAACAACAGAATACATTAAGACTATTATGTTCAACCTGTCTTTCAAACTCTCAAAGTTATTTTAGGAATGATTCTAGTTTCTAGTTAAAGAAATAAAGTCATTATTAGCCAAAGAAAGTAAACGTTTAATTTTCATGACTGTATTACCAAGTCATTTCCAGTGTTTCCACTGATGTATATGAGAACCAGTAGGGCCATCAGATTTCCATTTTGCTGTATCATAGAGAACAGCAAGTATTTGTTTAAAAAAAACCCAGTTATTTTGATGAGTGAAATAGATATATTCATATAGGCATTTTGAATTCTATTTTTCTGAATATTAGTGAAGTCAAATTTTTAGTTTATCAAAATATTGTACTTCTTTGGAGGGGTTCTGCTTCAGCCATTTACCTGTTTTCTAGTAATAATTCATACTGATTTTGTACAAGATGTTCAGACATAAAAATAGGGAAATTTTCTATTGCCAAAAATCTCCTAACTTCTGTTAAATAGTTGATTTTATCCATGTTATTAGACACACATGTAGGAACTTATCCATTTTTGACTCTTAGGATTCATGAGATATCTTTGAATAGCACCTAAATTTACTTATGCACATATTCTAAATAATGTGGAAGGTTTTCAAAATAACCTCTTCAAAATTTGTTTTCTCTTCCTCTTTCTCTTTCCTCCCCTCTTCCATCCAGATCACATTCCTAACCACTCCCAACCAGTGTCTAATACAGTATTTTCTAAATAGTTGACTTTTCCCTAATGTGTATTTTATCTGCATTCTCCAATAACATTAGAAGTACTAAATTACAAAGAAAACATGAATGAAAATAGTCTTTTAAAAATTTCTTACTCTGCTGGAATACACATAACATATAATGTATCCTTTTAGATTTTCAGCTTTATAGTTTAATATCATAGGATATATTTGGATTGTTATACCAGCATCACAACTGTCCATCTCCAGAAATGTTTCTATCTTCCCAGACTGAAATCCACTACCATATTCATTAAACCATAGATCACCATTCCAAATCCCCTCAAAAATCAATGTTTCATATTCTGATCTCATAATTTAGACTACTTCAGATACCGTGTGTAAGTGAAAGCACATATATGTGTACAAACATGTATATATAATCACTTTATCCTTTCATCTGCTAGATACATTTATTTTTTTTCAAGACCTAGGAATTAAAGTGTTTATGTTTCAAGTGTCAGTCTTTTTTTAAAATTGTGTTTATTGGTATATGAAATACGAAAGTGAAATAGATACATTTATGTTGTTTCCAACTTTTTGTGCATAATTCTACTGCTACAGGGTATTGACTGCTGTACCCATTATAACTCCATTATATATATATATATATATATATATAAAACTCCATTATATATATATATATATATATATAAAACTCCATTATGTTCTCAGGGCTTTTTAATTTTTGACACAGTCTTGCTGAGTCACTAAATTCCCTAGCCTACCTTGATCCTCTTGCCTCAGCCTTCCAGGCTGCTATACTTATAAGTGTTTGACATTATGCCCACTTTTAAATAGCATTCTAAATCACAACATATACAGTCTGAATTTATTTGGGAACACTGATTCCAATTGTTGACGCAGAATGTATCAATCAGCTTTACCTAACTCATACAAATGAGCGTTTTTGCTTTGCATATTTTTGAATATTTCTCTCAGGAACTCAAAAGCAACCTATAATCCTTAAATCTGAAATTTACCATGAAAATGTGCTGGGGAAATATTCATTAAACAGGCAAATAGATGATAGAGTAGCAAAACAGATTCTGCTCCAGACTGGTCTTGAAACAATGTCCAGGTCACACGGGAAAATGTTATGGAAGATGCTCTTCTACATTTGAATCCAGGAGAGCTCAACAGTGTTAGAAGTGTGTTATAAACTAGCAAATTGTTTCTCAATTTTTTCATAGATGGCAGGAATGATGGGACAAAATCATACCATGAAAACTGAGTTTATCCTCACAGGATTGGGAGATCACACAGACCTGAAGACCCTTCTGTTTGTGGTGTTCTTTGTTATCTATCTGATCACAATGGTAGGAAACATCAGTCTGGTGATATTGATTTCAAAAGAAGAGAGTCTTCACACACCAATGTACATCTTCCTGGGTAACCTGGCTCTTATAGATTCTTGTTGTGCCTGTGCTATTACTCCCAAGATGTTAGAGAACTTCTTTTCTGAAGACAGAAGGATTTCGCTCTATGAATGTATGGCACAGTTTTATTTTCTTTGCACCGTTGAAACTGCTGACTGCTTTCTTCTGGCAGCAATGGCCTATGACCGCTATGTGGCCATCTGCTGCCCGCTGCATTACCATACCAAGATGTCGAAGAGGCTCTGCATTCAGATGACAACAGGGGCCTTCATAGCTGGAAACCTGCACTCCATGATTCATGTAGGGCTTCTGTTTAGGCTAGCTTTCTGTGGGTCTAATCACATCAACCACTTTTACTGTGATATTCTGCCTTTGTACAGACTCTCCTGCATTGACCCTTACATCAATGAACTTGTTCTCTTTGTCTTTTCGGGCTTCATTCAAGTCTTCACAATAAGTAGTGTCTTAATATCTTATCTCCACATTCTGTTTACCATTTTCAGAATGAAATCTAAAGAAGGAAGGCTCAGGGCCTTTTCCACCTGTGCATCTCATTTTTTATCTGTTTCATTATTCTATGGATCTATTTTCTTCATGTACATTAGACCAAATTTGCTGGAAGAAGGAGATAAAGATATAACACCTGCTATTTTGTTTACAATAGTAGTTCCCTTACTAAACCCTTTCATATACAGCCTGAGAAATAAAGAAGTAATAAGTGTCTTGCAAAAAAATTTGATTAAAAAGGTAAGCTCAAGAAATTTTAAACAAACAACATCTGTTGTAGCTTAATTTTTCAGAAGCAACAAGAACTTCCACACAAAATTACACAGGGGAAATGCATAAGTAGTACGTATATGTTTCAGTGTAACATAATGCATTCATATTAAGCAGCCATATATACACAGGAAAATCAATTAAAAAGAGTAATCTGTACCAAATATTAACAGAAAGTAATAAAAACACCAAACTGTGAAGTAATTCAAGCAACTTACTACACTGCCAAGTTCCTGATCTTTGTAAGTATTAGACACAGCATTGAAAAGACAACAGCAGAGCAGGGGATTTAGCTCAGTGGCACCATGCCCACCTGTCAGGTACAAGGTCATGAGTTCAATCCCCAGTACTGCAAAAAAAAAAAAGTAAATAAATAAATAACTTTTTAAGACAACAGCAAAACCCGCCCTTAGAAATATATAAATGACCATCCAAAAATATTTTTTCCAGCTTTAATTGAGTTTATTGGTATATTTTAGGGATATAGTACAGTTACATTCATTGTTGGGATCTTGTACCTCTACATGACAAGTCTTGATTCTCATTTTTTCCCCTTACCTCTGCCCTCCCTTCACCCCCTCCTCCCCTCCCCATCTACAAACACTTTATTTTCATCTTTTCATTCTCTCACATTTTTTTCTTTTCCCTTTTTACTCTTCCCCTACCCATCCCACCTTCCCTACACCTTTAGCTCCTTTCTTCCCATTTCTAAATGTCAGTAATCTTATTAGAATCTTATGCATTGTTGCAGATTATTCACACCAGGGAAACTATTCGGTATTTACACATGTGGGACTTATTTATTTCACTTAGGAGTATATCTTCAATATGTATCCATTTTCCTATGAATGAATCTATTTTCTCGTTCTTTATGGCTGAGTAATATTCCATTTTATAGAAAAACCACAACTTCTTTATCCAGTTTCCAACGGATGGGCAAATAGGTTGTTTCCAAGATTTAGCTATTACAAACTGTGCCGCTATAAACATGGGTGCACATACTTCTCTGTGATATGATTCTTTTAGTTCTCTTGGAAAGATACCCAACAGAGGGATGGCTGGGTCAAATGGAACCTCCAGTCCAAGCTCTTTGAGGTATCTCCATATTGATTTCCATAGTGGTTGCACTAGTCTGCACTCCCACCAACAATGGAGAAGGGTTCCTTTCTCCCCACAACCCCGCCAACATTTGTCGGATTTATTCCAGAGATGCAAGGGTGGTTCAACATATGAAAGTCCATAAATGTAATACATTATATTAACAAAGTCAAGGACAAAAACCATATGATCCTCTCAATAGATGCAGAAAAAGCATTTGATAAAATTCAACACCCATTCATGATAAAAACCCTGCAAAAAATTAGAATAGATGGTCTATACCTCAATTTAATAAAGGCTATCTATGAAAAACCATCAGCCAACATCATATTGAATGGCCAAAAACTGAAAACTTTCATGTTAAAATCAGGAACAAGACAAGGATGTCCATTATCACCACTTCTCTTCAATATAGTTCTGGAAACATTAGCCACAGCAATTAGACAAGAGAAAGAAATTAAAGCAATAAAGATAGGAAAGGAAGAAGTTAAACTATCATTATTTGCTGATGATATGATACTCTACATTGAAGATCCAAAAAACTCCACCAAAAAACTTCTAGACTTAATTGACAGATTCAGTAGAGTATCTCAATACAAGGTGAATACCCAAAAAATATTTTTAATAAGCCCCGTTTAATAGTTTAGTGCATGAGCATTCCAGGTAAGATGAATGAAGGAGACTTCCACCAATAAAGTCACAATCATGAACATCAAAATTATGGCAAGTGCATTTGCAGGAAGCAATTTTAACAGGTTTGAAAATACACTTTTATAATTACCATAGAAATAACATGGACATGAGGTGGCTAGTTTCTATAATTTGAAGTTTTGATAGATTTAAATGATTAAACACATATTGTCCAACTTCAAGATAAGTTAATTCACAGTTTACCTACTCTTACATGTATACAAGTAGTCACACCTCATGCGCGGTTTGAGGAGCCCCCATGTCAGTGACTTAGGCTGAGCTTCCTTCTGGCCCTATCCTAGAGAGGCGGAAGAGGTTCAATAATTGGGACCTTTTCCAGACCATGTCATATAGCGACTATATCATATAGCAAAACATAGAAAGTGTTATTGCTGAACTCTGACTAAGGCTTAACTAAAATACATTTTTATTAAAGTGGGAAGGTAGGGGAAGAAAAGAAGGAAAAATAAAAAAATATGAGGATAGGAAAAAATGAAAACAAAGTCTTTGTAAATAGGAAGGGTGGAGGGGAAAAAATGAAAAAAACATCTTTGTAAATAGGGAAGGGTGGAGGGGGTGAAGGGAGGGGAGGGGTATGGGGAACAAAACAGAACCCAGTTCTGTTGTGTAAAGGTCCTAGATCCCAGTGATGAATGTAACTGTGCTGAATACCTAAAAAGTACCAATAAACTCAATGAGAAAAAAATGAAAAGTTGTACAAAGGGAATAATATCTCTGATTATAATGTGATATCACAAAATAATTACTTTCCAATTATCCACTCACAGTTTTGGGGGATACTCATATATAAAGGATTATTCTAGGTTCTAGGAAATATCAGTTACTAAAACATCACTTTTTTATTTCCTTTATTAATGGAGCATTGCCAAATTTTAATTCCTAACTTCTGGATCATCAAGGATCATAAGAAATCAAATAAAATTTCATCCTTTCATATTTCTTTCTGATGGTCTGAGATCATGTCTACATTCCCAAAAAACAAATTTCTGGTTGCAACTTCATGCCGACTACCCGGCCACCAGAGGATGGCTTTACATAGATAATCAACGTGCTCTGTCTATCAGAAAAAGCAGTGCCACGGCAGGTACATTTCCAATTCCCAAACTCATGAATGAAAAAATATAGAAACCTCATTTCTCTTTATAAGCCCCAAGAAAACCTAACCTACCTCATTCCAATCATACTTAGACATTTCAGCATTTCCGTCTTTGTTTCTAATTAAACCCATCAATTTAGGATTTTTCTAGCCTCACCTCTGTCCCCTCCTGGTTGCATGCACATGTGTATGTCTCTGCCTGCTATCAGGGGTTCTAGTGCTGGTGTCATGCTATGGGTGAGCTCTGCTCAGGCCGTGGGCCTCTGGTTATCTTTGTGCCACCATCCTTTCAGGTATCTACATCCGTGTCTAGTCCCTAAATGTGTACTAATTTTTTAAATCTACATAGAGTTTCACCTCTTGGGAGTTATTTTCCAGATTATAGTATGGTACCTCTTTTAATTTCAGGGAGAGATAGTAAAAAATAATAGATCAATGTTTTAAAAAATATGTCCAAAGGCTCCTTTACTTTTCCCAACAGCCCCGCTTAATTCTTTATTGTATAAATTCTTCTCTACTGGATATTTTCACATTTTACTCCTCTACTATTTATTTATATTTTCATCACACTAATTATATCCACTCTTATTCATCAATGGAACTGTGTATTTTGTTCAAGCAGTCTTCCAAGCTTTCACCACTTCCATGCAATCTAGACTGTCTTTCACAAAATCGTTTTACACTGAGTTGCAATAATCTCTACTATGTCAGAAGTCAGTGGGTAAACTTGTGGGGAAAACAGGTAAAATAGACACCCGCATGAAACAGGGATAAATATTTAAAAGGAAGTATTTCTATACAAACTTGATTTATTCAGGAATATTCATTCCTGCACTTTGACAATTCTCACATCCCCAGACAGTGCTGTCACCTCAAAGACTGCCATAGTGTGGGTTCAAAATATGAATCACGGACGGGGATTAGCTCAGTGGCTCAAGTGCCTGCCTCGCAAGTGCAAGGGCCCAAGTTCAGTTCCCAGTACCAAAAAAAAAAAGAAGAAAATATGAATCACTGAGTTGTCTGATCAGTTAATATTGTGCTACTTCACCATACAGGGATTGGAACTTCAAATAATGTGGAATTCAATCCCTGGTACCAAAAAAAAAAAAAAAAAAAAAAAAAAAAAAAGTGGAGTTGTTTTAATGCTGAGAGCATTTTATTTTTACATTTTAATTATTGGGGTGTTACTTAAATCATTTTGTTTCCTATTGTCTAGCTGAATTGTTAATTATCTGTGTGTGTATACAAATTTCTTTTTTTTTTCTCATTGAGTTTATTGATACATTTTAGGTATACAATACAGTTACATCCATTATTGGTATCTTGTACCTTTACATGACAGGCCTTGGTTCTCATTTTTCCCCTTGTCCCTGCCCCCACTTCAGTCCCTTCCCCCTTCCCCATTTACAAACATCTGTGCATAGAAATTTCCTTGCCTCTGAGAATATTTATTCTACACATGCACCTCTCACCATACCATTTACCTCCCTTCCACAGATCTTTCTTCTTAGTATGGTATTAGTTTTCAATTCCTACCATTTTTAGCCCAGAAAAATTGCTCAGAAGTTGGCACTTGGGGCTGGGACAAGTCTATTTTTTAAGTGACCTATCTAAACATCTAAACATCTAAATTCAAATGTTGAGCCATAGGTGGTATTAATGAATGCCATAGGTGGTATTAATCAGAGAAGAAAATATAAAACAAAAGTCCATTCACCTCTAGAGTCATATTAACTTTTAAAACTGTAATCCTTCAGTTTAATATGGAAACTCTCAGACTGTATTTTTAACCTGTTTAGATGACATTATTTTAGGACTGGGTGCATTGTAGGAAAAAGGATGTTTTAATGTGAAATTATTCTTGTGTCAGAGAAAATAAAAGATCATTCCATTACTGGATATTCCAGAATATTATCTTTTATGTCTTTCAAAACTTTAGAAAGGACACTAACCTGAATAATTTTAAATTTTAAAATACCATTAATTCCTTATTTGAATAAACATTTATCTAAATAAGATGCAGGTTTCATTTATTTTTAAAAGAGGAAGCATTTAGTTGCAGATTGACTTAATTAATTCCTTCAGAAAATATGTAAAATTGTCCATAGCA